GGGCTAACTCGGGTTCGTTTTTCGGGAATCCAAACCCGAGTTACCCCGGACCCGAGTTTCCCCGGATACTTCGGGCGTCCAGAGCCCCGAATCATCAGGGGTAACTCGGGTCAGGGATAACTCGGGTTCCTTTTTTTCGGGAATCCAAACCCGAGTTACCCCGGACCCGAGTTACCCCGGATAATTCGGGCGCCCAATTAGGGTGGGGACGATCTCTCCACAATCTTCGTCTACTTGAATGTTTGTTGCCTAGTCTTGATCGTTCGTCCAGAGTCCGCCTGTAGGAGGGCACGCACGACCTGAACCTGGGGCATCGGCGCCCGCGTCGGGCTTCTGGTCGCTAGTCCGTGCGAGGGAAGGCGTCGGGCAACAGCAGACGGCATCGGCATCATTGATTTGTCGGAGCTCCGCGCGGAGTCCCCGGGCCAGCGACGCGCCCCCCCCGGGCGGTGCCTCCGGCGCCGCCCCGAGCGCGCTCCGCGCGGCAGGGAGGGGGCTCCAGCTCCGACCCAAGAGCTCCGCTTCTGTTGCATCTTCGGGGGACCTCGCCTGTCCCTAAAATTGGTGTCTTTTGCGGGGCCCGACGCGGGCTCGATGCGGACTCGACGCGGATTTGGCATGGATTCGACGCGGATTCGACACGGATCCGACGCGTCCGACATGGATTCGACACGCATTCGACGCGGACAGGGCCGCGACGGGGCAGACAAGGTCCCCCGAGGATGCAACATAACTCCGCGCGGACCTCCGAAAGTTTCTGCTTCCATCCTTGTTTGTTTCCCAAGAGGAGGCAGATGGTGAACGGTGAGAAACCGACCCCCACAACAATGGATTGCGAAAGTTTCTGCTTCCATCATCGTTTGTTTCCCAAGAGGAGGCACGTGATGAACGGTGGGAAACCGACCCCCACAACAATGGATTGCGAAGGCCTTGCGGCCGGTGCCGCCGACCCCAGATGGCGACGACGACGACGACGAGCGCTTTCGGGGGCCTCTTAGGGGTAGTTTGGGGGCCTCTTCGGAAGCCTCGTGGGGGCCTCTTGGGGCTTGCTGGGGTCTCTTGGGGCTTTTTGGGGCTTCTTGGGGGGGCTGCTCAGGGGCCTTTGGGGGCCTCCTGAGAGCTTCTCAGGCCGAGGGCTCGCAATGTCCGTTCGGGTCCCCCGTCTGGGCTCCTCCTTGGAGCCGTCTTGGGGGCCTCTTCGGCTGTCTTGGAGGCGTCTTGGTCGGTCTTGGGGCCCGCTTGGGTCGTTTTGGGGCTCTCCTGGAGGCCTCTTGGGCCATATTGGGGCGGTCTTGGGGGCTTATTGGCCTGTCGCGAGCGGCGAAGGCGACGACGACGACGACGACGACGACGACGACGACGACGACGACGACAACGACCGCAACGACGACGACGACGACGACGACGACGACGACGACGACGACGACGACGACGACAACGACAACGACAACAAATCAAACAGAACAACCTCTTCCACATGCCGACAGGATCGGTGGATTTTAAATATCAAGGTTTTGCAATTCTGGCGAATGTGCGTACATGTAGGCGCCGTGTAAACGAGGTCATTGCCAGCTGCCGCAGGGGGGGCCCCGCTTGCGCGGTCTAGTTGGTCTGAAGTTCATCATGTGGGGGTCGGGGGTCGGTTTTCATGCGTTCACATGGGACAGCAGGAGCACAGCCGTCCTCTTCTCGTTCCCCTCTTTTGCCCCTCGGTTTTCTCTTGCTCCTCGGCGGGAGGGGCAGGTCAACGTCTCGCTGCGGAGGGTGCCGGCCCAAGGCCCTGCGGGGAGGGCACCTGGTGGAGCCAGGAACCCTGCGGTGCTCCTGCTCCCATTCTCCATTCCCGCTTCTTCCCGCCCTCTTGACCTCCCCCCTCGTTCGGCCTCCAGCCTTCATCTCCGCAGCATCAAGGGCTCCCACGACGGCGCGAAGTTATTCGCGCTTCGCGGTCCTCGTTGCTTCTCCCCCTCCTCGTCCTCCTTCTCTCCCTTTGGGGGGCCGGCGCGAGAGCGCGAAGTTATTCGCGCTTCGCGGAGCGCGAAGCGCGAAGTTGGGAGCCCTTGGTAGCATCACCCTCGACCTTGCTCCAGATGGGGTTCCACCAGGGCAGGGCACGTTCTTCCTCAGGTGTACTTAGGCTTATGTTGGGCCTGTCCCCCTACAGTGGGACTTTCGACGAAAAACAAAAAACACCCTAAACGTACTAAAAAGATACACCAAAAATAGTCTGGGGGGCATTTTTTGAGTATCTTTTGGCCTTTTTGGAGTATTTTGGGGGTATTTTTTTTGTCGAAAATCCCCCTGTAGCGGGACACGCCCGACATAATACTAGGCGGGCCACACGCTCGCGCCTGTCCTCTGTCGAGCACTGCCGTGCGGGTCACGACGCATCTGTCGCTGGCCTGGAGGTTGGCACCATCACCAATTTCGGCGGTGTGCCTCCACCGAGGGAAGAAGATCTCGATCTCGGTGATGGTGGTAAGATTCTGGCTTCCAAGGTGGCCGAAATATTAGCACCAACACCGAAATCGAGGATCATCTTCCCCCTGTGGAGGAAAACCCCCTAAGTTGGTGTTGGTGCCCATTTCCAGGCCTCCAAATCTGGGCCCAGGCACCCCCTTTGGTCAACGATTATACGCGGCGCGCATGCGTCAATTTTGAAAACCAAGACACTTTCTCACAATCCTTCAAGCCAAGTCTGGTCGAGAAGCCCATGAAAGCCCCTCGCTTCGCAAGCGGAGACGGAGGGCGTGAGACAATACGGTGACCAACAAGCCGCATACAAGAGTTGCTGATAAGACTAAAGAGCAAGGTTCACACATTGGCTTTTGTCCAGGCCGCGTGGCTGGTACGAGGGCTTACAAGGAGGGGCCGCAGACTGAAGCCAGGGACCCTGGGAAGCTCGAGCGATCTAGATTTGGGATGTACAATCGCCCGAGACGAACAAATGGCGTACAGTCTACGTGCCGTGTTGTCGGCAAAGTGTCGTTTCCGCCCCAGAGGAGCGCACGCAGGCGCACATGTCAAGCAGTTGGAAGCACCGTGAGTGCTCATTCGTTGTAGCGAGTGCATAGAGCGCAGCGCAATTCTAACAACAGGTCCGCCAGGTTTTCTGTGCGTGGACTTGTTAGGACCATGGAACCAACTACAGTCAACCCGCATGGTAAGGATGAGCAACTTTCCAAGGTTGCCCGTGCATCCTTCACCTTCGGCCCATCCTTGGCCGCTTTCGCTGGCCGCTCCCCGCTCGCAAGATGTCGAACATGGCCTTACAAGGCCCTTGCATCCTTATCGTGCGTCCTTATACGGCTTGATTGTAGTTCCCCAGTGAGCTTACCCAACATATATCAAGCACCTTGGGCTTTACGGTGGCAGCCTGCTCGACCTCTCGCTGCCCCTCGCCAGCCAGAAGACACCGCGCCGCCCGGGACGCCCTTACCATCATCATCATCATCATCATCATCATCATCATCATCATCATCATCATCATCATCATCATCATCAGCATCAGCATCATCATCATTATCATTATCATCATCACCACCATCATCATCATCATCATCATCATCATCATCACCATCACCATTATCACAATCATCATCACCATCATCATCATCATCACCATCATCAGCAGCAGCATCAGCATCAGCATCAGCATCCTCATCAATATCATAGTCATCATCGTCATCACCATCATCATTAGCAGCAGCAGCAGCAGCACCAACATCAGCATCGGAATCATCATTACAACTCCCACCATCGTCATCATCATCATCATCATCATCATCATCATCATCATCATCATCATCATCATTAGCATCATCATCATCGTCCCCGTCCTCGTCGTCGTCGTCATCACCATCATCACCATCACCATCACCGTCATCATCATCATTACCAGCATCACCACCATCACCGTCATCACCATCATCATCATCATCATCATCAACATCATCATCACCAGCATCATCACAATCATCACCGTCGTCATCATCAGCATCATCAGCATCGTCATCGTCATCGTCAGCATCATCATCATCAACATCAGCAGCATCACCCTTACCATCATCATCAGCAGCATCATCATCATCACCACCATCATCAGCATTATCATCATCATCGTCATCAGCAGCAGCAGCACCATCCTCGTCATCACCATCATCAGCATCATCATCATGACCATCACCATCACCATCGCCATCATCAGCATCATCATCATCGTCGTCGTCGTCGTCGTCATCATCATCATCATCATCATCATCATCATCATCATCATCATCGGTGTCATGATCACCATCACCGCCGCCACGCATTTCGGCACACCATACGCGCTTCGGGGCCCCAAAGGGGCCTCCATCGAGAGTTTCAGTGGTGCAGCCCGCATGCGATCCCGCCACCCGTTTCGGCACACCCCTCACACGCTTCGTGGTTTCATAGGGAGTTCTTCCGAAGGTCCCAGAGGCGCAGCTCTTATGCGGTCCAGCCCCACAGGGAGCTTCAATCGACGGTCCCAGTGGCGCAGCCCGCATGCGGTCCCGCCACCCATGTCGGCACATTCTTCACACGATTCATGGCCCGATAGGGAGCTCCACCGAAGGTCCCAGTGGCACAGTTTGCACGCAGTCCCGCCATTCATGTCTGCACCCCCCCACACACGTTTCGTGGCCCCACGGGGGGCTCCACCGAAGGTCCCAGTGGCGCAGTTCGCACGCGTCACCGCAACCAATTTCGGCACGCCCCTCGCACGCTTCGTGGCCCCATAGGGAGCTCCACGAAGGCCATTCGTGGTCCCACAGGGGGGGCCCCACCGAAGGTCCCGCTGGCGCCACCCGCGTGCGTCTCCGCCACGCAGTTCGGCACACACTCCACACGTTTCGTGGCCCCGTACGGAGTTCTACCGAAGGCTTCAGTGTCACCGCCCGCATGCGGCCTCGCCACGCATTTAGGCACACCCTTCACACGGTTCGTGGCCCCGCAGGGAGGTTCACGGACGAGTGCCATTGCCCGTCCCCGCGACCTTTTGCGGCACACCGTTGACACGTTGCGTGGCCTTATGAGAGTTCCACCGAAGGTCCCAGTGGCGTTGTTCGCATGCGTCCCCGCCGCCCATGTCGGCACACCCCTCACACGTTTCGTGGCCCCACAGGGAGTTCCACCGAAGGCTCCAGTGCCAGGATTCACATGCGTCTCCCCGCCCACCGCATGTCCGTTCTGGCACGCCCCTCACACAGTACGTTGCCCTTATCAGGGGGGTCCCATTCCTTCATCTCACTTGCCTCGCGGCACTCGCCAGGATAATCTCAAACGCTTTGTTTCGTTGTTCGCTTCGTGTGGCAACGGTTTCATTTTAAGCATAAGCTTTAAACGCTGGGCTTCGTTTCGTTTTGTTTCTTTCGGCGGCGAGCGAGGCGGGGAAGTGAGAAGGAGAAGGCCTTCTCAGAAGGTTCGGAAGTCCCCCGGCCTTTGAGAAGTCTTCTGAGCCTTCCCCGAAAGCAGACAAAGAACTTCTCGGAGTCACCGAGCGCGTTCCACTACCCGCAAAGTAGTGCCTACTCGCAAGCGTTCGAAAAACAAACGCCTGCCTCGGTGTAATTCATCATAGATCCCCCGCGGCGGACCCAGGCCATCTGCGAGCAGTTACTCTGCGAGTAGTGGAACGCGCTTGCCTACACGAGGCGCGAGGGCTTCTGAGAAGCCCCGCCGCCTTCTGAGAAGTCCTTCCGCTTCTCACGTCGCCTCCCCTCCCTCGCCGCCGATCAAGAGGGAGCCCGCAAGAAGTCGAGAAGCCGCGCCCCGCGGACCACAGGGCGTGAGGCTCCGCTGCCCCTTGCATCGTTCGGGCGTGTACACTTCTTTTTTTTTCGGCGAGGGCCATCGAGGAGCATCCTGGATCTCAGACCTTCTCTCGGCGTCAGCCCAACATACCTATACCGTATGTGCGTCGCCCCCCCGGGGGCGACGCGCGCACCGAGAAAGCTGATAATCAGTATGTGCGTCGTGGCGGGCGCTTTCTGGCCACGCCGCTCGGGAAAGGATCTACTAGAAGATGGGTACACTAGACGTTCGGGTCGGACGCGCGCCTCCAAGGAGGACGCGTAGTATTAGCATGTCCCTGTGCGTCCCACTCTCTCACCACCCACCAAACCACCCCAACCCAACCCGAAGGCTCAAATTTACCCTCGATTTCCAGTGGGGGGGGGTCGGGAAACGTCGAAAAAACACATGTGGAACCCTTACCCCCCCAACCGGAAATGCGGGTCTTCGGGTTGGGTTGGGGTGGTCTGGTAGGTAGTCACTCTCCTCCTCGCCTTCGCCCCGCTCCGCTCGCCGCCGATCCGCGGCGCCTGCTTCGGCCTGAGCCGCGCTGCGGTTTTGGCCCTCGCGCGGCCCCGGCGCCCTTCGCCGGAGCCCCCCGCGCCCCGGGCGGTGGGGGGCGGGCGCCCGCGGGGGCCGGGAGGGGTCAGGAGCGACAGAAGGACGTACACGTACATGAATCCACGCTGGTTTCGAGGGCACGCACTGCGCAAATTTTCGTGTAACGCGGCCGGTCTCGCGGACCGAGGGGCCGTGTTCATGTACATAGCTGGGCGCGTACGTCCTTTCTGGGCTCCCTAAGGGGGAGCGGCACGCACATCCCCCCGCAGCAGGGGCGCAGGTTGGCAGGCGCAGGACGGCGGGTCACGTTTCTCGGCGTCGCTCCAACATACTTATATTATGAGTGTGCGTCGCCCCCCCAGGGGCGACGCGCGCACCGAGAAATCTTAGTATTTCCGTCGTGGCGAGCGTTTTCTGGCCACGCCGCTCGGGAAAGGATCTACTACAAGATGGGTGTACCATGTTCGGGTCGGACGCGCGCCTCCAAGGAGGACATGTAATAGTAGCGTGTCTCTGCGCGTCCCAGTCTGTTTTCGTCGCGCCTCACCCGCGCTGCTTTCGCTCCATCTCTGCCCCGCGCGGCGCGGGGTGGCGGCCACTGAAGCAGAGGTGAGGGCTCGGGGGCGCTTGGGCACGTCGGGACCCTCTGCCTGAAACTGGCCTGATTGTCCGGGGGACGGGGTGGGGGGGGACAACCAAAAAGCGGCACAAGCATACAGTGGAGGCGAGCGAGGGGGGGAAGTGAGAAGGAGAAGGCCTTATCAGAAGGCGGCGGGACTTCTCAGAAGCCTTCTGAGGAGTTCAGTTTCTGTCTTCGGGGAAGGCTCAGAAGACATCTCAGAAGGCCGGGGGACTTCCTGGCCTTCTGAGACGGCCTTCTCCTTCGCGCTTCCCCCCCTCGCTCGCCGCCGAATCCAGTGGAGGCCCATGCCAAGAAGCACCCTGCCTGCCACGGGGGTGCCCCAGGTTTCTCGGGTTGCCGGGGTTTTCTGCGACGGAAGGCGCGACGTCGCCACACCAGAAGTGGGAGGACGTCCTGGGGTCTCAGGGTTGGGTCTCTTGTGGAGGGATTCTTGTGGAAGGTTTCTTGTGAAAGGTTTCGAGGGTTTTGCGATGGTCCACGGA